ATGGAGATGGAATGAGTTGCGGTTTAGGGATTATGTTATGAGTTATTGCTTCTGCGTAGATATACACAAAAAATTTGTGTTGAAACTAAAACCTATTGCGAACTTTGAAAATCGCATTGCGATTCTGTATTATCTCGTTGCGAAAGTAAGTATCGCGTTGCGATTTTCCTAATTCGCATGCGAATAAGTAAATCGCAATGCGAATTTGGAAAATCGCAATGCGATACTGACTATCGCAACAAGATAATACAAAATCGCAACGAGATTCTGAATTTCGCAACGAGATTCTGAAAATCGCAATCATCTTCAAAATCCCAATCAAAACCGGCTTCACCTTTTGGGACTGTTAACTTAGGTGATTTTAAATGCAAACGTTGTATTATGTGTATTTTATGTGTGCACTTTTAACATTTTTAGTTAGGCATGTATTAGTAACTTGAGTTTGAACATTGCTATGATATGTTCAGTTGTTATCACTTATTAGACATTCATTTGACTATCGCAACGGGGAAATCGCAACGCGAAAATGGCTACCGCAACGCGAAAATGGCTATCGCAATTCGAAATGAAAAATCGCAACGCGAAATGGCTATCGCAACTAGAAATCGCAATGCGAAATGAAAATCGCATTGCGATTGTTGCGATTTTCATTTCGCATTGCGATTTTTTCATTCACGTGCGATTTTCTCGTTGCGATAGTCAGTTTCGTGTTGCGATAGTCTGTTTTGCCTTCAACATAATGCAGATTGAAAATCAACAAATCACTATTACATTTCAATCAATTAAACAAGCACAAATAAGAATTATGTACACATCAATTAAACAATCAACATTTACAAATCATTTTTTACAAATCAATTAAACAATCAAAAAATAATAATAATTCTTATTTCTTCATAAATAATTGAATCAATGAATCAACAACTTTGTGACCCCGTACATCCATTTCACGCAGCTCACTTAAGGATTAACCTGCAGAAACCAAACATTTGCTCAAACAAGACTTCCTACACATCTAAAACCTACAAACATCAAATTATTGAATTCTAGGTACTTAACCAAACATTTTCAAACCAAAAGGAGTATATATGTTAACAAAACTTGCATTTGACTTACCAATTAACAATGAAAACTTTCATAAGGCGGATGCAGGTAGGCAGCATCTCGAATATATTGCTCTAGCCATATAATACCGAAACCACAAGCCTACTGCAGCTCTATCTCTATCGGTGGGAGGTAGAAACTCTGTGCTTCCCGTCGTCAAACGCGCCAAGCACAAGCATACGAGAGGACCACAATCCCCTCTGGCTCCCGGCGATTGTTGTGGCGCGGTCTCGTCTCTGACAACTGTGCCATTGAACTTCTTTGGCTTCTTGTGTCCAGAATGAGTCCAATAATTAATCCTATCCAAGAATTTAGCCAATGAGAGCTCCATCCCTTGATCATATCTCTCAAATCAGACAGTGATATGTAATTTATCATGCTGTCAACACTATTATCTTCAGGGATGGGAGCTGAAGTTGGACAGAAGCCAATGACGACGTTCCAAAACAGGGATAAACACCTGCAATCATAAGTAATAATTCATTTATTTGCGCACTTATTTATGAACACCTTTAAAAAATTTAAAAAATAAACACTAACCTTATCGACCTCTCACCATGCAGGATAAAGTTTAGCTTGTCCATTGCCCAACGAAAATGATTCATCTCGTTGATTCTTCAAGTGAACTGCGTGAAAAGTCGCCGGCATTATTGTATATCACGAATTTTTTTTATTTTTCCTAAGCTTCCTTATTATTAGTAGACGTGACACCCACACATCGATATGAGTTTTACAAAAAAATACATATTAGTGAATTACATTAATTTTTAAAAAAATTAATCAAAATCATATATAAGACAAATATAAGACTTACCTCCCCATCGAAATAGCCACTGTCTTCAACCCCTAATAGCACACCCCACCAAGACCGATCGGTATTATCCACAATTGTTTCCGGTAGTTGTCTCCTCTCCACTTCAGATACCGGAAGGGTACTAGCCGGTAACTCATACGAGAGCCAACTCTCATCCATCATGTCCGGAACCGGTGGGGGTTTCTCAATACTTCGATATATTACCCCATGTGAATCGGACTCTGAAATGGTGGGAAGGACATCTTCAACGATGACAGTGGCCTCTTGAACGGTGGGGGGACTCTTGAGGGAGGATAGGGGCCTCTTGAACGATTGGAGGGACTCTTGAGGGATGACAGGTGAGTCGGGCTTCTTCTTGCGGAGTTTTCGTACCATTGGGGTGAACGGAGACGTAATAGCACGTCCACACCGTCTGATGCATGAACTCGTCGTGCAAGGAAAACCCGACGTAAAGCATCACCTTATCGGGCCGCTAAAAAAAATTAATACATAAATCAGTAAATAAATAGACATGATATTAAACAAAGACAAATATGTTTCAAACTAGCATTGTATTCACCCAAGTCATTATTCTATCATAGTTCACAAAATGCTCAGATAACATTCCAGAAGTAAACACTTATATAAACATTTAAAAGGACAACATATATAAACATTCCAGAAGAAGAATAGTTTACTTTCGCAACACGAAACTTAAAATCGCAACGCGAAAATGACTATCGCAACGCGGAAATGGCTATCGCAATGCGAAATGAAAATCGCAATGACAAAATCGCAATGCGAAATGAAAATCGCAACGACAAAATCGCAATGCGAAATGAAATCGCAACGACAAAATCGCAACGCGAAACACAAATCGCATTGCGATTTTCATTTCGCGTTGCGATTTGTCGTTGCGATTTCATTTCGCATTGCGATTTGTCGTTGCGATTTTCAATTCGCATTACGATAGCCATTTCCGCGTTGCGATAGTCATTTTCGTGTTGCGAAAGTAAACTATTCTTCTTCTGCAAATTGAAACTTGAATGGATTGCATTACTTCAACCAAAAGACAAAAACAAAACCAAAAACAAATACTAACAAAACTAGTTAGCAGTATTGGCAGCAACCGAATGAATTACGAGTATGAAAAATCTTAAACTTACCTCGTTGCGTAGAGTATGAACCTCATTCTGCAACGTGCTACCATCTCACGTAGGCTACCTCACCGCGTAATGTAGACACCTCAACACGCCATGCACCATCGTCTTTGCGTAAAGTATCGACATCCTCACGCAAGGCATTGACCTCATACGTAACTCCCCTAACTCATCCCGTTGAGGTGGAGGTGGAGAACAGGGAGATAAACTTCGTGGCATCTTTGTCGGTCGCCTATTTGCGGTGATGGTGGAGAAGAGCTCGATGATGTGACAGAATATGTGATGGCTGTCGTTGTGGAGGTGTATAGTCGGGTCGATCAGATGATGGCTCTGGTGAGTGATAGCTCTGGGCGAGGTGATGGCTCCCAAAGTGGAGGCTGCTCATCAACCGTTCCATCAAAAAAACGCTTACTAGCTTGCCACCAATCAGTGGCAAGCTCAGCTTCCGTGGGTGTCAGCCTCTGTAGAGGAGTGTTTGGCCTCCTAACAATATAAAGCTCAAACAAAGTTAAACGTGTACTAGTAATAACTTGTTTATAAACATATGGTAGTATTTATGTTAACTTACATTATTTATTGTCGTATACCGTAGTAAATCTTCCCATTGCAAGGTCCGTTTCCTCTTCCAGGAAATAGCCTTGGGAATATCATTGAAGTTTTTATTGCATATGTCTCATGGCGGGAAGGCCTCAAATATCCAAATCTACAAACAATATAATAACAAACATTAGTAATTGTTAAATAATTACTTATAATTTTGGAAACATTATATAAAAATTCTTACCTTAAAGGCCCAAATAAAGCCTGTCAAAGTGTATTTGGAACCATCGCCATGCAAACTTTTCGATCATCCAAGGCAGACGATAACTTATTCCATGTAGCTTTCATAAATACGAGCCCCACGGAAATAGGTTCCACGCATTTAGGTCTTCTACCAATTTGATTAGATCATTTGGAATAGGTTGTCTGGCCTCTCTGCCTAAAAAGCCGGCATGCAAAAGAATTAGAAGGCATACTCTCGGACAACGTCGACGTCATCCATCCGAGTAAAACCATCTTTCTTATTCAACAATCTTGTCAGGTTCTACGTGTAGATTCGGCCTCTTCAGCTCAAGAAAAACCCGGGATAGCCATGATGGGCGGTAATGTGTCTAGTGTACGACCTACATCATCGTGTCCGAAGCGTAGACCGTGATTAAGCAAAACTCCTCCCGCCCAAAACACGTATACGCCGGTAGGAAAATCAAACCATATCTCTTCATCACGACGGTGTATAGTCTCGGTAGATCGCTAGTCATGGTTTGAAGAAACAGGTGTGTCAACATCGCATCTCCTTGTACTTTCAGCCATGCCCGAAGCAAGTATCCTCAACATTGTGCAGGTGAAAGCTTCGACGCAATTGTTTTGGCCAGGCTGACTTTATTTCTTAAGGTCAATTGAGCCGAATAAAAGTTCTACAAAAACAATAAACATACTAAGTTAGATATACCAAAAACTACACTGTGAAGATATACCAAAAACAATAATAAACATAAAGAGTAGTAGTTTATTCTTCAACTTAAATTTGCAACACTGTGAATTTCGTATTTGTCTTTGTTTTTGATTGAAGTAATGCAATTCATTCAAGTTTCAATTTGCAGAAGAAGATAGTTTCTGAAAATGAAAATCGCAACACGAAAATGACTATCGCAACGCGAATTTGACTATCGCAACGAGAGAATCGCAACGCGAAACTAAAATGCGTTGCGATTTGCATTTCGCGTTGCGATTCTCGGTTGATTTAATAAGCAATCTAAGTGAAATGGTTTAATCTATTATTGAAATTACCAGTAAACTTATCATCAATTTCAATATGAAAACCTAATAATAATGTAAAAATTTCAAAAGAAAATAATTAAAAAAACTAACCCTGTTGGTTGATTGATTGATTTTCCATTTCTGATTGTGAGGGTGGCTCTGAGAGATGGAGATAGACGAATTTCGCCGGATGGGGACGGATTTCGTCGGAGATGGTGAGAGAGTGAGAGATGGAGATGAGACCAGTTGTGATTTTAGGTTTTAGGTTATGAGTTGCGATTACGGGATATACTATGGACGGTTCAGTGTTCCAATATATTAATATTCGTGTTTGGAATTTAAAAATAAAATACTTGGCCATGATACTAATGGCGCTTTGAAAATCGTATTGCGATTATGTATTATCGCGTTGCGAAATTCAGAATCGCGTTGCGAAAGTCAGTATCTCGTTGCGATTTTGTATTATCGCATTGCGATAGTAAGTATCGCATTGCGATAGTCAGTATCGCATTGCGATTTTCCCAATTCGCGTTGCGATTTACTTATTCGCATTGCGAATTGGGAAAATCGTAACGACACTGTAGACCATCGCAACACGATTTTCAACTATCGCAACGCGAAATGCAACGCGAATTTGCGATAATGGAGATCGCGTTGCGAATTAGCGATCGCATTGCGATTTTGTTGGTCATTTTGGCAAATCCGAAAAAAGTTGGTTAAAATCGTATATTATATGGGAATTTTGGTTACTGAGGCGATTTTCTCTAAATAAAACAATAAGCATTAGCATTTGTCATACTTCGCTTCAGAAAAAGGAAACAAACGTCCAAAAGCGGTGATTTAAGAGAACCATAAATGGCATGAATGTGTACTTTCCCCGATATGGGAAAACACGTAAAAATTAAGTTATATATATTTGATGCAATTCAGACAATAAATTCTGGACATAACTCTACTGGCTGCGCAATACCAGAGTTGAAAATTGAAACCAAATGAAGAGGATGACAAAGACATGTCCAATTTCCCCATTCTCATTTTCAGACATCTCTCATTCTTCCCAGCCTGTAAATTACGGTGAAAAAAATAAATAAATTTCAATTGCAGCTCAGCTGATAGACCTTGGCTTTATCATTTGCCCCTTTCAACCATTTTGTTGCTGTAATATAATCCTAAAACTTCCTTGGATTTGATGAAATAATACAGCTGGAAATGATTGAGTTTTTTATGGAAATCTTTGGATACATCTTAGGCATTCTTGTTGTAGATTTTCTTAACATATGGGATTTGTATCGAATTTTCTTTACAAAATTGCAGATTTTTGTCCACGATACTGTTTATGATCTACTGCAGATGCATGAATAGAATCTATTTCATTGATTTTATTTCATTGCCTTCAGGATTATATTTCACATTGGCATAGCCGAGGATAACATACATGTCTCACACAGCCATTTCTCCGGTGAATAACACCGAAGAACCTCGAATTTCGTAGCAAAAGAATCGGAGATTTACGCCAGGGGAAGAATCCTAACCCTGGGGTGTTTGAATTTCTATACATGCAAGTAGAACAATCTCGGGGTGTTTTTAAGTTATTGTACAAATTGAATCCTGGTATTCGATAAAACTGACTACCAGGATTCTATAGCTGCACTTTCATGAATAATTAGTACACAGCCGAAATGAAGACTACAAGTTTGCGTGCTCTTCCTGCTAGCTGTCGGTGTTAACCCGGAATTTTACACCAGCAATCTCCTCCTTTTTATGCGACTTCCGGTAGGACTCAGGGAACAACCTTGAGAGTGAAGATTCCTTGCGTTTAACTACTAAAGCAAAGGCGCCATGGCACGGTAAGTGCATTGTTCCAACTGCAAGGTACCTGTTCGATCCGACATCGCAACGGATGCAGTTAGCAGCATAAACAGAATGTCGTGCGTATGTGTAGCATAACGAAGATTAAACGTATACCAAAACGGAGCATAAAACGGTGTCAAGTCGAGGAATGGATGGCCACCTGCAAAGAGATGGATGCCACAATAAGAGAGTAAAGACTTTAACCAAAGGGAAACAGATAAAATCCGTAAAACGGAAATGGAACTATACCAAAGGTTATAATAAGCATGCACAAGCCATTGGAATATATAACGAAGACGCTGGTCCATAAGAAAAAATATGCAATTCGAGAAAAGTGGAACCGCTGCAGGGGAAAATAAGGTACAATTAGCTTCGCGATTTCGTCGAAAGATACTCGAAATGTGTTGTCACCATGAGTACTAAACAGAAGCAAAACTCACCAAGCAATTCAAAACTACGTCACAGAGTAGGAAAACAGCATTGACAGAGTGCATACAGACAATAATCATCTGCAGTTAAAATGGTTTCAATCATATGCACAGCAACACGAGTTCCGGATAAAATTGGAGTTTATGGCATCATACTTACCAAATCCACACTGTATGGTATGGACCTTAGGTATGGAAAAAGAATGATCCAAAATACTAAATCAGTGAGCATTGATGCACCTGCAGAAGCCTATTCAAAGACAGCAAATAATAAAAAGTCAGGTGAAAAGGAAGTTAAGACAATGATCAGGTATTTTGCACAACATTTTGGAAACTGATTAGAAGTAAACCTGATACATAATTTGGAAGGCATAAATCAATCCACCGGCTATTTTGCAGTGTTCCGAATGTTCGGACTCGTTGGTGCCTTGCTCAGAATCTAAACTTTGCACCATCAACGATATCATGACGAGCTTCTTCCCAGTGTTTTTGACATCCGTATATAGAGATTACACATCCAAGCTACAATCAGAGAAGCAATCGAAAACCGAAGAAGAACCGTGCTTCGAAATGAACATTGATAATAAATCATCAGGTAAGTCCTCAATGGCAAATGCAAATTACAGAATGTATAAGCTGTATATATATATATATATCACTCACTGAGTATAGAAGAAGAATATGCTCATTCCGTTGATGAAATCATTGATCAAGAGCAATGTTAATAGCGTGATGAAGCCGAACATTCGAAAACCGAGCAGCCAAGCGGGGTAAACGTTTCGGTTTTCGAGGCATGTATTCCAAGCTTCCTCCTCGTATACCACCACCGAGCTACCTTCTGATTTTCTCGACCCCAAGGATTCAACTTTTTCCGGCCTTCGAATTTCGAAATTAAAATTGTGGCCACGACTAAGTAGAACAAGATGAAAAATGCACAAACGAAGAGCCTCCAATTCAACGAGTAACTTGAGGTGGCTGTAATTTCGGAATCGGCAGTCATGATGGGCTGCCAAATATGTGTCGAGGACCCTGTCGAAAAAACTCATGAAACTAGTCCTACTTGCTACCTTGGTTTATCATAATTTTGTCAAAGAATTTAGATAAAAAAACAAATAAAACATCTTTGTCACGTATAAATTATCAAAATCTAGACGAATGTTGTACAATTTGGCAATGGAATTCTGAAGGAATAGCAGAAAAAAGAAAAGACCTGACAAAACGCTTATAATTTACCTCTGTCTTGAGGGAATTAGTTTATGAAGCCGGCAGGGGCAGAGGGGAGGCCACGGCATTGCACGTGATCGGTGTGCCGACCGAAGGGAAGTTCAGGTGCCCGGCGAGCCACGGAACTTTCGAAACTTCTTCAAATTCCAGAGAATGACAATAGCAATGAACAATGACAAATGAGAATGGAAATGGACATGGAAATGACAATTGTTATATATTTTACATTTTAATTAATTTTTTTATTCATTGTTGTTGTTAGGGAAGGTTTGTTGTTGAGAAACAAAGATTTTATCCGAAAAATCAAACAAATGAATTGTCAACCACGAGATAAAGATGTTCTCAAGAATTATCGTCTTCACTTATGATTCAATTATATACTTTCTCTGAAAAAGGTTTAATAAAAGTAAATAAATAAACTCTATAACAATCTTTATGCAAAATCAAACTCATTATTATCCGGTTACTTCGTTAAAATAAGACTTATTTTTTTATAACATATATATATAGGTAAAAAAAAGTTTAGAAACTTTTGGGTGTCAATTGACACACCTCAATACATGTTGACTCTGCTAGTGGTTATGTCTCTTCGGAAAGAAGTTGGTTCCTGAAACCAAATTTTTAAAAATAAAAAAAAATTAAATTTAAAATATAAGCATACCAAAGTATTAAAAAGTTAAATGCTAGAATAAAAATACTAAAAATACTATTAAAACTTAAAAAAATATAAAAAAATATCACAAGCTATAAATTAATAAATTATTAAAAAAATAAAAAATATATATGTAAAATATACAAAAACATATACGCACAAGATAAATTAATCATATTCACATAGTCAAGTTAATAAAGTTAGTATGTTTTTAATTCGATATACACATCAACCATCATTATAGATTTCATACACTTTTTATATCATACATCTACACATACTCAACATGACTTCATTTCCATAAAGTTATATAATCAACACATATAAAAACTGTTTTCATAATACATGTTGACTCTGCTAGTGGTTATGTCTCTTCGGAAGAAGTTGGTTCCTGAAACCAAATTTACAAAATAAAAAAAAATTAAATTTAAAATATAAGCATACCAAGTATTAAAAAGTAAATACTAGAATAAAAATACTAAAATACTATTAAAACTTAAAAAATATAAAAATATCACAAGCTATAAATTAATAAATTATTAAAAATAAAAAAATAAAAAATATATATTATATGTAAAATATACAAATAACATATACGCACAAGATAAATTAATCATATTCACATAGTCAAATTAATAAAGTTAGTATGTTTTTAATTCGATACACATCAACCATCATATAGATTTCATACACTTTTTATATCATACATCTACACATACTCAACATGATTTCATTTCCATAAAGTTGTATAATCAACACATATACAAACTGTTTTCATTAATTTAATCAGGACTTACGAATTTTGTATCAAAATATAATAAAAAAATCATAAACTACTCGCATTAATATACACATCTAATCATATTTCAAATAATTCTAAAAATTACACACAAACTCTTACATATCATATACTAAATTAATATATGACATCAAATCAATAAAAAAAATTTAAGTAAATATAGGTTATAATGTTTAGTAAGTTAGTATTATTGAAGTTGAGGGTTGCTGCCATGCAGTGGTTTCCTTGATCCTAAGTTCACTATTGCTAATATATGGGATGCTGTTGGGCAGATGAGAGGTAAGATGCAGTGACATAAATTGATTTTCATATTTCGGATTATTTGACCATCTCTTAAATGATAATTTTAAATAGATTGCCTACAAAAGAAAACTTAATTTCTTTTAGAATTAATGTGGATGCTATTTGTGTTCTTTGTGGTAGTGAGCTTGAATTTAGGGATTACATCTTTTTTTGCTGCTCTATTTTCAAAACAACTGGGTCAGGTGTGCTGCAGGCTTACCACTAGCATCAAAGAGAGGAGAACTGGGGTTAAGGACTTGCTTGGACGGTTGCTCGTCTAAAGGGTAGCCCATACTTGCTGTTATTATTTATCGTGTGTGGAGGGAGAGAAATTTACGGATTTTTCATCAGAAAACTCTGCAGAAAGAGACAATTGTCTATTGTATTAAGAAAATTATAATATGTAGAGTAATTGGGAGTAGAGTTAATCTTGTCAATAGATTTCTTTTGTATAGAGTTGATTCTTATATAAGTGATGGTTATTTGCTTGTTGTATAGGTTGTGATTTGGTTCTATGAGCTTTCGTGTTTTTCTGGATAAGTAAAAAACTAAAAAGATATTTAGTAGGTTAAAATTGATAACACCTGCAATTAATGTTATTAAAATTATAACAAGACAACAATTATTTCATAATATGATCATTCATTGTAAAATGATTAAAAGTCTTTGAACAGATATTAGGGATGCGCACGGGTTGAGTTTGGGTCAGATTTCGGCCGACCCGATCCTAAAATTTTACATCATTCACCTGACCCGAAAAATATATACCCTTCATCCGACTTGAACCCGACCCGACTTTTTGAGATAAAATCCAAACCCGATCCGACCCGACCTGAAATAATAAAAAATATTATTTTTATTCAATAAAATCAATGATTTAATTGAAAAAAAATAATATATAGAGGGAATTATTATAATTATTCCTAAATATATAAGGTAAAATTATATATATATTTTCGGGTCGGTCGGGTCGGGTATTTTTCACCATAAAATTGAATCCGACCCGACCCGAATGTCACATTTAAAAAACCCAACCCAAACCCGAATTGTTTTTAAAAAGCTCCGACCCGGATTAGAACCTTTCGGATTCGAGTCCCATGCCCATCCCATATAGATACTATATTGTACTTACTCCTGATTTATCAAAATTATTAGCTGACCCTTATTCCCATATGTAATAGGGTAGGAGAGGTAGGATAGTAGGCTGCCCCCAACGTCAGGTTGAGAGCAACTTCCATAGGAGACCTCCGAATTATGAAATATCCTCCGTAAGATTCGATCCCACGATAAATTAAAAGACTTGTGGTCTACAACTGAGCTGGATGATCCATCCGGCTACAAAATGCTTTAATCCAGAAAACAGCACAATCTTACTCCTTTAATTAAACCAATAATTAAATCCCACGTGGAACACAACGACACGTCGGTGGGTTAAGAAACAGGGAATTAAAAAAATAGAATAGTCAACTGATGAGTGATGACGGACCTCACAGAGAAAACATTGTTCTCAGTTGTGTCTATATCTGGCTTTACACTTCAACATCTAATCTTTGAATCAGGAAAAACAAAAGCTCGCTGAGACAAAACCCTTTATTCTATTACCAGGTAAAAGTTTTTGTTTGATGTTTTTTCCAACTTTTGATAATTATCCATAAAATAGAGATTTTTTTTTGATAATCTGCTCTGGGGTTCTTGTGTTGTGTAAGATTTTGTATCTGATTGTCTTGTCTTTGGAATTCCGATAGCGTTTACTGAAAAAATTGGGAATTGCATCTGTGTTGAAGACAAGGAGATGGGAACTGAACAACCAAAGTCTGTAACTATTAATGTAACCGGATTTAAGAAATTTCAAGGAGTTGCTGAAAATCCGACGGAAACTATAGTTAATAACCTGACGAGCTTCGTTCAAAGAAAAGGTTTGTTGCCTGCCGGTGTTACTTTAGGGAGTTGCACTGTTCTCGAGACGGCAGGCGATGGTGCTCTTCCCGTGCTTTACAAGGTCCTGGAATCAGGCACATCAGGAATCCACACCAAAAAAGAGCATATTGTATGGGTCAGTTTTATATGTCTTTAAATACACTAATGTATTGCCCCTTTAGCTGTTCGGGTGTGGAATTTGTCTGAAATTCACAATTTTAGAATTGTTTAGTGGTGTTGATGCATATCCTTTTGAACTGAAATTCGACTTGGGGGCGATGGTTAAAACCCTGACTTGATATGTTCGGTTGTCTCCATTAATCCTTATCCTTTTCCATTTTATTTTGCTTTGAATGCCCTTTGCAGTTAATCAAGATGGTTTATCATCCATATCCAAGAACTCTAGCTCACAGAGGAGATATGCCAAGCACATGCTATCGATGGTGTAAACTTCCGATTGTTCTATGAAACAACTGCTGATCTAACAGACCTTAATTTTATTGTTTCTTTAGCTTCACTTGGGGGTTGATGGTGGAGCAGAGAAATTCGCCCTCGAACGGCAGGCTGTAAATGAGGCTACTTTCTTTTGTCCTGATGAGCTAGGATGGCAACCTATGGTGAATGCACTTCTTTTAATCTTACCAAACATTTTTCTACTATTCCATTATATATATCCGTGTGTTCATTCTTTCTGATTTGTGTCTCCAGCGACAACCCATTGTTGCGGAAGATGGAGGAACTTCCCGTAAACGAGAGGTACTTTGCGATCTTTCTCTACATATCAAAGAAACCTATCACCTGGCATTACTTGTTGAGCATCTTTAGTTTAAGAATTTAATCGTTTAGATTCAGTTTCAGCCGAATATTTAACACCATCGATGCGTATCCGGAACTAGTCATGCATCCCTAGATTTCATTTAGTTTGCTACTTTTCATTGTCATGTGTTGGATATCAGCTATACCTTTTCCCTTTCTGAAACCGTGATTAACATATTGAGTCTTTTGGTTCTTGAAGACGACTTGTTCGATTGAAGTGATTCTCAAGTTCTTAAAAGACAAGGGCTATGATGTGAGGATATCGAACGATGCGGGCCTTTTTGTATGCAATTATGTGTACTATCACTCCCTCCGGTTCGCAGAACAGAAGGGTCACAAGTCATTATTTGTTCACGTTCCCCTCTTCTCGGTAATCAATGAAGAGACACAGATGCAATTTGTAGCTTCTCTTTTGGAGGCCATTGCATCAACCTGCTAGTATTGAAGCCATTTATGGTGTATGCATACCCTGGTTTTCGACCCGAAGCTTCCGCAGAGGCGAAATGATATGATTATGCTTATATCTATGTTCATAATTTACCGTTGCTTATCTTAAAGTAAACAATGGAACTTCTTTTGCCTCCCCACCACCCTTCCTTGAATTTTCTTTCTTGAATTGTATCTGATATGTGGGGCTTTGTGCAACGAAAATAGTTAACATTTGAACTTCGAAGATTGGAAAATAGTTAACAAACTATTACATGCGTTTATACTGAAAAGGTTACGTTCTGCTCATTTTGTTTCCGATCTGTCTTACATTAATCTATCCTTACACCATTTTGTTTTTAAGAACATAACACCCTAAATGAAGCTTGAAAGAATACCTAAAAGAGATGAATACACAAACTATTACATGCGTGCATACCTTGTTGCCAACCTCATCACTATTGATCAATTCTACTGTGATTCGCCGAAAACTTGCCTAAACCAGGTGCATTATCAAAGTTCTTTTCTGTCATATATAATTCCTCAGCCAATGAGAACACTGATCACATGAATTCTAGTTCTCGTTTATTATTATTATTATTATTTAGACATCAGCAGTGCAAATAAGCCAGATTATGTACCAAAACATTAGTGGGACAACAAAAAGCAAGGAAGCAATGAAGTTCGCCTGCAATGATACCTACTGCGAAGACCTACTGCGATTCTGCTCGAGGCTTTGGCTATGGGATCGTTCATCTGTCGGAAGACTGCCTAAATTCCCAGGACACAGGCTATTATTCTCATCGACCATAAAGAAAATGATGAGCTTGCTGAACACTCCGGAGATCGTATTAGATAGACGTATCAACAACAATGTTGTAGTAATTACAACATAAACTAGAGCACCAGAGGTCCGAGAGGAGGTTTGAGGCACAAGACGAAACTTCTATGAGGAATTGCGGATGTAATCGATGTTATCATGCACAAAATGCTCTGAAACTAATGCAGGCAATAGCAAGGGTTTGTACAAATGCAGTTGCTATACCTAGTAGCATTGATAATCAATCTCTTTGTCGAGACGGTATTTTCCCGGCGTAAAACAAAATGTACACACAAGTTTCGTTGTCTCGAAAAAAAAATGTTTACCTTCTTGTATAAGATAAAACACAATTTGAGGAGCGCCACCAATAATTTATCGAGGTGTGATTGGTCACAAAAAATGTATGTTATTTTAATAAAATTTGTAAAATTTTTTTTAAAACAACATAAAAAGGGTCTGCTTACCAGAAAATGAGTTCGGAAGTCGGTTACGTGTGGGGAAGGATTATCACCCCACAACGCCCAAAATTGGTACCTTATTTATTAATTAGTTGTCTTTGCAGTAAAATTTACAAATTTGTTTTATTTAACATATAATCCCATAAAAACATTAAGGATATTATTTTATACCAACAAATCATTTAAAATAATTTCCTAATCAGTTAAGAAATATTTTATGATTTATTGTATAAAATAAAATAACCTGAGTACATGTAATAAATTTAATGATTAAAACGTGAAAAAATTTTCCTATTTTAAGTACTAAAAGTGCAAATAAAATAATAATAGTATTAAAAATTAAAGATATTAAAGTTTGGTGATTAAATTGTAAAATAACGAAAATAATGACCCTAATTCGAAATATTAAAAAACTAGGTGCAATTATTGTAATTTAACCATAAATACTAATACGAGATTAAAATATAAATTATAAAAATAATAGGGACTAAATATACAATTTTATCCTAAATATATATAAACATATGCATGGACTAAAATATAAATAAAACAAAATGCGAGAACCAAATTAAAATGCGTAGAAACCTGATTTTGGTGACTGAAATGGAAGTATTACAAAGTACAGGGACTATGCACGAGGTTTGACCATTCCCCAAATTACACAAAGGCCCTCCCCAAAACGACGTAGTTTTGAAGAGAGTATAAATAGGCTATAACCAGTCCTTTAAGGGCCATTTTCCCATTTTTTTCATTTCATTTCTCTCTCTAAAATCCTTCACCGGAGGGATAGACGATCACCGACCAATCGTCGGGAACATCGCCGACATCCACTGTCGGCCACTGTCCACGGTGGTCGGAGTTCACCCAAAGACACCAAATCAAAGCCCTCACCCTCCTAATCACGATTTTGAGCCCCTTTTTTCATAAAAACCTCACAAACTCTGTAGATCTAAGTTTATACCTTCCGTTTTTTCGACTTTTCGATGACGTTGAGGACTCCGACAATAATACGATAAGTGTCTTCTCTCCTTACTGTTTTCCTTCCCTGCTACTGTTGGTATCTCCTTTCAAATGTTTTCTTTCTCTCTATATGGTTGTTCGTTTCTTTGTGTTTTCTGTTCCTCGTCATTTCCGTTCCTCGTTGTTGTTGTCCCTCGTTGTTTTCGTTCCCCTTTTTCTTTTGCAGGTTCGACCTTTTATAGGTCTTGGAGAACCGTTCATAATGATGGCTTTTCGGTGAGTCACCGGAGCTATGGTGGTGACTCACCATAGGGCAATGATGTGTGCGGTCCTCCTTCACCTTCTGGAGTCTTCCGTTGAGGCGGTGGTGGCGTGGCAGTGTTGGAGTGGACTATCTGGACGGTTGTAAATCGTCGGCAGCGGCGAGATGATAACCTCAGGATAATGATAAAATCCTAGGGTTTCTGGAAGCTTCATCTGGACCCTCCATTTCCACTTTGATCGGACGGTGGTGATGAGGAGGCGGCTGGAGATGTGTGATGAAAACCCTAGTAGAATTCGGGACTGCTGAGCCAACTTATTGGGCCATCTGGGCTTGGATTTGCTTCTTGGGTCTACTCTTGTAAATGGGCCTCCGGGTTATTTTGTATTTAGGCCCCGGTTTATGTCAATTGGGCCTCCAAACTTGTATTATTTATAATAATAATAATAATATAATATAATAATAATAATAATAATATATTATATAGGCTCGGACGAAAATGACTGTTGACACTCTTGAAATAACGTACTAAAGTTTTCAAATTTAACACCTTTATACGAAAGTGCGGTAGTAATCCTTCAAAAGGGTCTGCTTTGTTTACTCGAGTGAGTATTAGATACGAGTATATTTTCTTTACGAAGTTCTCCTGCTTTTGTTTTCATCCAGAATTTAAACATTTTTGACATTTTCAGTTTCTCATTCCTTAGTCCTTGCTAAGGGTATATAATATTATACAAATATATAATGACCTTAAATTTTACAGCCATTTCGACCATGTTATGTGTTCGATATGTATGTCTGGATGTGGGAAACTACACCAGAAAACATGATGTGGCTGTGAAGAGATCGATTTTAGTGCTTGATATAGATGAAAATGCAATGACAACCAGGGACCACTGACACACAGATCGATTCATGGTTCATATATAAAAATATTAACTCAGAATCATAACCCAAAATTCCAAGAATATATATATATTAATATTACTCTATTTCAAATTGAATTAAATGCAGACATAAACAAAAAAAGGAAGAAGAAAATGGAAAGTTGGCTTGAAGAACCACAAACTTGTGAAAAAGGTTTGGGTTTCATCTGCCCTCTTTGGCTAAGTGACAAAGTACGTGACCTGTGGTTTAATAATATAAAAAATAAAAACAAATGCCATCCATTCATTTAACTCCATGGGATCAACCATGTTTGTGTGGTGCACAACTGGTTTTTATCCCCATATATCCATGCTTGCAAGACAAGATAAAGACAGATCATATGAACTGGTTTTCCGAAGCTGTCACCATTTGAATATGTATCTAAATCGAATAACATTCTATGATTATAGATATTGAGATTCGAATATGATACTTATTACGTAAATTAATCGAGTTGAATTTGTAAATGAATTCAGAGATTACTTATCCATCAACTGACCCTATATTTTTAGATTGAGGGTATGAATAGATCATAAATGCAGAAACAGATTCGGGTTCTGCATCTGACATTATTATATTCTCCGAATTTATGAGCTCAGAGCTGAGCATTGAGCAGCCAATTAAAAGCATTCCACAGGATTCTGGTTAGTCACGAGAGGGCTGCTCTATGCACACATGATAATGATAATATGATCCCACACTTTCCTTCTCCTTTCACCCTTGCTTTTAAGGTCACGCATGGGAGTGTGATGTGATGACTTATTTTAAGCTCACATTTACAGCTCATGGTGATTCATGTGCATTTTCAGATCTTAAAGTATATTGGTTCATTTATAGTATATTCTTACTATAAAACAGGGTTTTTCTTATACTAGTATTGGGCATGAAATCGATACTCATGATCGTTATAATATTATTATTAATGCACATGCAAGTATCTTTAAACTAGATTAAGTGATAAGAAATTTGACATTCTTTAAATAAGATTTTGATATTATCTATGTTGTGAGAATTTTCTCCCATTTAATATTGAGAGTTTGATTGAATTAAGTTTCAGATTCATCTTAATATTTTCTTATTATAAAATAGGGGTTTTCTTGTACTAGTATTAGGCATGAAATAAATACTCATAGTCGTATTATTATTATTATTATTATTATTATTATTATTATTATTATTATTATTATTATTATTATTATTAATGCACGTAAAAGGAAAGCTTTAAATTAGATCAAAAGAAAAGAAAATTGATGACCTTTAAGTAAAGTTTCGATATTGAGAATGAATAAAATTGATGTCTCCTATTTGATAATCCATCTTGGGTTAGCTCTGAGATACTCGTAAGTTAATATGATTATTGAATACATAAGTTTTTTTTAATAATCTAGGGTGATTATAAGATAATATCTGTTTAAAATATTTCTTAACTATTGACAACATATACCTTACAAACTCGGTTACAAGAATCCAAAACCTAAAAAAAAATAACATTCTCTTTAACCATTGAGACCACTTGATTGATTCTTAAATACCGAAGATTAAACCTAATATAAAAGGGACGGAGGGGTCCAAATATGGACAATAGAGAACATTCCAACTAGCAAAACCTAATTTACATGTGTACTTACAGTTTAAAGACATAATATCAGATTCATGTGGGATTGCTTAAACTCTTCATTTTCTTTAAATTATTGGTTCTTAACATGTATAGCTCCAACACGAGTATAAAACATCATATATATAGAAGAAAGAAGACATAAATTATTGATTTATTTTTGAAAAAGGAGAGTCAGGGAATGGAAGATATTGTAGGTCCGTGACATGGTTGGGCATGAATTTAGGGGTTTTGTAATACCAACAAAGGGGTGAAGACAAAACTAGCTTTTGTCTTTCTAAATCTAAGAATCACCCCATCTTTACACTTACTCAACCCCATAATAAAGGGGGATCTGTTCCCCAAGTCAATTTTCACATGTACTGCAACATTATTGATTTTTTGTGTTAATTTATTTAGATTTTTGAGAATTTTTTAAAAATAATTTAGGACATGTTGAGAATTTTTCTTAGTTATTAATAATGTACACACATCCTGTAGACGTGACTGCTCGAACTAAGAA